TCCCTCAACGGGCAGTTGGTCTTTGGACCTTCCTTTAGCATGCCTTTGTTACGGAGTGCAATTATCAGTCTTAGTTTGGGAGCAGTATTGTCTCAAAGTTGGCCGAAACGCTCAGAAATGTCTATGAAAAATCGTGTTTTGGGCCGATTTTAAGCAGCTACTGCGTCTGATCCGAGGCGGGCATTTTGCTCCCTCAACGGGCAATTGGTCTTTGGACCTTCCTTTAGCATGCCTTTGTTACGGAGCGCGATTATCAGTCTTAATTTGGGAGCAGTATTGTCTCAAAGTTGACCAAAATAAGCACAACGATTTTTCAAAGACACTTGCGACCGTTTTGATCGACTTTGAGACAATACTGCTCCCAAACTAAGACTGACAATCGCACTCCGTAACAAAGGCATGCTAAAGGAAGGTCCAAAGACCAATTGCCCGTCGAGGGAGCAAAATGCCCGCCTCGGATCAGACGCAGTAGCTGCTTAAAATCGGCCCAAAACACGATTTTTCATAGACATTTCTGAGCGTTTCGGCCAACTTTGAGACAATACTGCTCCCAAACTAAGACTGATAATTGCACTCCGTAACAAAGGCATGCTAAAGGAAGGTCCAAAGACCAACTGCCCGTTGAGGGAGCAAAATGCCCGCCTCGGATCAGACGCAGTGGCTGCTTAAAATCGGCCCAAAACACGATTTTTCAAAGACACTGCTGACCGTTTCGGCCAACTTTGAGACAATACTGCTCCCAAACTAAGACTGATAATTGCACTCCGTAACAAAGGCATGCTAAAGGAAGGTCCAAAGACCAGTTGCCCGTTGAGGGAGCAAAATGCCCGCCTCGGATCAGACGCAGTGGCTGCTTAAAATCGGCCCAAAACACGATTTTTCATAGACATTTCTGAGCGTTTCGGCCAACTTTGAGACAATACTGCTCCCAAACTAAGACTGATAATTGCACTCCGTAACAAAGGCATGCTAAAGGAAGGTCCAAAGACCAACTGCCCGTTGAGGGAGCAAAATGCCCGCCTCGGATCAGACGCAGTGGCTGCTTAAAATCGGCCCAAAACACGATTTTTCAAAGACACTGCTGACCGTTTCGGCCAACTTTGAGACAATACTGCTCCCAAACTAAGACTGATAATTGCACTCCGTAACAAAGGCATGCTAAAGGAAGGTCCAAAGACCAGTTGCCCGTTGAGGGAGCAAAATGCCCGCCTCGGATCAGACGCAGTGGCTGCTTAAAATCGGCCTAAAACACGACCCCAGCATCGCCGCGACCCCTTAAAAAAATTTCGCGACCCCGCTTGGGGTCGCGACCCTAAGGTTGAGAACCACTGCTCTGGCCTGCTCCAGGCGGACTCCAGGCGGACTCCAGGCAGACTGCAGGTCGACTGCAGGCAGACTCCAGGTAGACTCCAGGCGGACCCTAGGCAGACTCCAGGCAGACTCCATGCGGACTCCAGGGAGACTCCAGGGAGACTCCAGGCAGACTCCAGGCAGACTCCAGGCAGACTCCAGGCAGACTCCATGCGGACTCCATGCGGACTCCATGCGGACTCCATGCGGACTCCATGCGGACTCCATGCGGACTCCAGGCAGACTCCAGGCAGACTGCAGGCAGACTCCAGGCGGACCCCAGGCAGACTCCATGCGGACTCCAGGCAGACTCCAGCGCGGGCGTCCCACGCGCGGCTCCATTCACACGGCAGCGTAAGCCCTCCCGGCAGTGCACGGCCGCGCCGCCCCGCCTCTCAAACATGAAATATGATGATTGTGATTGTGGACCGCGCGGCTTGGCGGCTTGGCGGCTTGGCGCGGCGCAGCGCGGCCGGCAGACCGGGCAGACCGACCGGCGGAAGGGTCAATGACGTCATTTGGCATTCCTAATGAGGCGCGGCCGTATCTCAGCGCCACGCCCCCGCGGCCCCCGCGGCCCCCGCGGCCCCCGCGGCCCCAAAGGCGCAGCGCGCGCAGACCACCTCCGCGACCTGCAGCAGACTCATTCGCTCTGCCTCTCTCACACCTATGGCCCATGACTGCGAGAAAGACAGAGCGACGAAAACGACTCTCGGAATCAGTCTGCTGGTCGGGCACGCCGCGATGCAGCACCACCCCGATGACGAACAGTCGTTATTACCGTACCGTTCGCGCGCCGCCTTTCAGCGAACTCCGCGCGCCTCCGTCCCCGAGGCCGTCCCCGAGGCCGTCCCCGAGGCCGTCCCCGAGGCCGTCCCCGAGGCCGAGGCCGCCCTCGTTGCAAACTTTGTCCGAAGTGTGGCCCCCGAGGGGGCGCGCATGAGTTACAGCCGTGGGGCTCACCAGGCCCGCCAGGCCCACCCACCGACAAGCCTCATCCAATAATCCCCGCTTCGGCCCCCAGGCCCGCCGCCGCCGCCCCGCCGCCAGCACTAACGCCATTTTTCCCGTTGTCCAGTGTGGTGTCCAGGAGTCCATAGCGGAGGCCGTCATGGACGTCACGGCCGAGGCCATGGAGGCCATGGACACCGCGTGAGTTATGGCGGATTAGGGCCCGGCCAAAGCCCCGGGTCATTTCATTGACCCGCGCCGGGGAGGGGGTGGGGGACATTCCTCCGGAAGAGCGCCGTCTCTCTCTCTCTCTCTGTCTCCCTCCGGCCAGACCTATCCCACGTCACATCCTCATGCCGTCTGCTCGGTGAGCTCGGTGCGCTCGCGTGAGACGCGGCGGAGTCCGCAGTCCGAGCGCCGCCCAGAGTCCAGTGGAGGAGTCCGAAGGAGTCCCGGGCCCATAGGGGACGAAAACGGCCCATTAACCATCATTATACTTTAACGGCACGGCACGGCACGGGCCGCGGGGCCTTACGTCTTATTCATACGCCACGCCACGGCACGGCACGGCACGGCACGGCACGCCCCCGAGCGCCAGAATGGACGACATGACATCGACACCTGACATGAGCGAGCGAGTAATTGCTCTGCCCGCGCACCAGGTGGTCCACACACGCACACACACACACACACACACACACACACACACACACACACACACACACACACAGAGTGTATGTGTTACACACACACACATGCACACAGAGAAAAGCGGGTACGCACATGGACATATAAAGTCAAGGTAATTATCAAAGCGGTCGACCGGCAGGTGGACTGTAAGCAGAACAATGTAAGTGGCGGGCCACTGGCAGCCACGGCAGGGCGGCCAGGACGGCCAGGACGCCGAGGCCCCGGGCGGTGACTCACTGCAGAACGCCCCTGCCTGCCGGCACGCCGTCTCTCTCTCTCTCTCTCTCTCTCTCTCTCTCTCTCTCTCTCTCTCTCTCTCTCTCTCTCTCTCGTGCGAGAGAGACGGGGCAGGATGCCTGGCGACCAAGAAAGCGAATTCCGAACACCGAACGAGACCGGACCGGCGCGGCGCGGCAGGGCGTGGCAGGGCGTGGCAGGGCACGGCGTCCAAGGGCGCGAGGCGCGACAAAAACGAGGAGCGAGGGCTCCAAGGGCTCGCCGAGGGACGGAGGGACAGGACAAAGAGGCGGAGAGTGAAATTTGGACGGGAAGGGGCGAGCGTGGCAGCGCAGGGCGGCGCGGGGCAGCTAGAATGCCAAGTACGTATAGAGCCGCGCCATACACTACGCCGACAGTGTACTTACAGTGTAGCGACAGGAGGGCACAGTGATTTAAAGGCTGAAAAACAAGCGCAACCCTTCCTTTGCCAGCCTGGCCCTGGCCGGCACACTCATTCCGAGAGTCGTTTCCGTCGCTGTCTCTCTCGCACTCATGGGCAGCCCGTGTAGGAGCGAGAGAGACAGAGCGACGAAAACGACTCTCGGAATCAGTCTGCAGGCTGCACGCCGCAGCCTGGACGGCTCGCTCTCCCAACAAATAATTGCCGAGACATTTAGAACAGCGACCGCGAGCCTCGGCTGGCTGGCCCGGGCCGGCCTGCAGGTCGCGACACGTCCACAGCAGACTGATTCCGAGAGTCGTTTTCGTCGCTCTGTGCCTCTCGCACCCACAGAGGCCGCCCGATGAGTGCGAGAGAGACAGAGCGACGGAAAGGACTCTCGGAATCAGTCTGCTGCATGGGATCGGCTGGCCGGAGTCTGGAGTGCACTTGATTGGGGGACGCCCCCCGAGTCCCACTGCACTGCAAGGGCCCCGTCCCGTGCGAAGGGTGAGTCATGCGTGGGGCACCAAATTACATAATCGACCAAAAGGGCCCCGGCGGAGCGCCCCAAAAGGGGCCGGCCGTCAGGACGCCACCCTGAGCACGGTGCACCCTGCTGCAGCACGCCGAGGGGCCAGCCGCCTCGCCCTGGGCAAACGCACGGAACAATGCTTTCGTCGCTCTGTCTCTCTCGCACCCTCGCGGCGTTCCGCAAGGGTGCGAGAGAGACAGAGCGACGAAGCGGCCTGTTGGCACCGCTTGCTTTGTCGCCGCCGGCGCCAAGGTGGCGAGCACGTAGCCTTGGTGTCCTGCCGAGTGTGGTGACACCTTGGGCCTGGCCAAGACACCTAGGACCTCCAGGACACGGCGTCCAACGCCGTGGGGAGGAGGAGAAAAGGGAGGAGAAAGGACTCGCGGTAGGGAAGGCCGGTGGACTTTGAACTCGGCGGCCAGGGGCGCTGCTTGCGCTGCTTTGGGGGCAGGCTATGCAGGAGACACTCCACTGTGCAGGCATGGACCTGCAGGCCACCTGGGTTCGGGCCGCCGGTCCCCGCCCCGCCCCGCCCCGCGCAGCCCCCCTCCAGCCAGCCCGGCATGCAGCCTCACCGGTCCGGCGCGGAGCGTTCGGTGACAGACTTTTAAATTTCAGCCACTTCCGGTTACGCCTCCGTGGGGTGTCGGAAGCTGGGCCACAAGTGGCGGTGTGTGTGTGTGAGTGTGTGTGTGTGTGTGTCCAGCCGAAGCGAACGGTGGGTGGGACCGAGCCGGCAGGATTCAGTGTGGTGTTTGACACCTTAACCGCGAACGTGGTTTCAACCGGGGTTTCGCTGTCCTTCGTGAGACGCACCTGTGAGCGGATCCTTCGGCACGTCGGCTCCAGTGTAGCGCAGGCTGGAGCAGCTGATGTCCTGCGTCGCCGACGTCGTCGCGGTATCCTTATCCTTGGGCAGGGTGGCCGCCGCTGCCGGCGAGACGGAGACCGCCAGGAGCGACACAGTCGCCCACAGGGCCGCGAACTGACACATGCCCGCGGCGCGAACGCCCTTCCTTCGCACACACTTGAACAGGCACTTGATTTCCACTCGGTCGCCGGGAGTTGCACGCATTTTCGGAAATAAACAAATCGGGCTGAAGCGAGAGGTTAAGTCTGTCCGGCTCGGACTTTAAGACGCGGAACGACCGCTACTCCTGGGACGCGACGCAAGCCGAGAGCATTGGCGGCTCGAATCGGTGCGCGAAGGCAGGCGGAAGCCGCGGGTGCCGGCGAAACTGAAGAGAACACTGAAACTACACGGACGCGGCCATGCCAGGATCCACGAAGCAGCGGCACGGACTACTCGCCTGATGCGCGTTCGGCAACGCACTGCCACTGCCTGGCTGGAAAACACAGCGGCAAAGCGGCTTCCCCCTCCACGGCCGCCGCCAGCCACCCCAAACACCACCCCCACCCGCCGCCACCCGCCCCTCGCCCTCCCCCACCCTCCCCTCCCCTGTACTCGGGCGCGGCTTTGTCCGCCGCCCGGCCGCCATGACACCTAGGGAGTCTAGGGAAGAGTCGCAGGAATTCCCCGGTTGGCTGGGAGGCCGGTGCTCCGCGGATCGCCTCTCTCGGTCCTGAACACTCCCTTCAGCCCTGACTTGAAATTCTGACTTGTTTGAGGGTACCAGCGGTGGGACGACGCGTTTCACGCGCCCACACGCACCCGCTTCGGTACCGCGGACCGCGGTGGCTTGTGGGTAAGGACACCGAGCGCCAGGCGCGGTCACCCCCACGCTCCGAGTCGTCGTCCGGGATGATAGCATCCCTTCGAAGGGCGATGCTCGGCTGTTCACCAGACGTCTACGTTCGTCTGCTAGAACTGTCGTCTGTTTATGGGAGCTAGTCATAGGATCAAGAACTTTACCCGAATCTGCTAAAAAAGCGAAGTAACATGGCGTTTTCCAAAGTTTCTCATGTCATATTCGACATGGATGGCCTGCTGTTAGGTGAGGAAAGTCGATGCGGCGCTTTCCTGAAAGGGAATTGAAGCAAAGTTGTCCACCGTGAAGGCCTAGACGACGACCTGGGTAACCTTGACAGGCTGGAATTCAGTGGAATTTTCGAAATTGAACGTAACATCATTCTCTGTATTTCTTAGTTTAAATGGCCTTGCCACATGCTGCCTCCTTTCATAAAAGCTCTGCATCTTCAAAAGAATATTTTTGTTTACAATATGTGTTATTCTGCAGTTAGATTACATCATTATTTCTTCTTGTTTAGTCATTTTGTTTGTCATTTTTTTGTGTCACTTTTTCCACTGCATAACAGAATTATGGCGCTCAAGTAATGAAGGCCACACCATCTTCATAAGTGAAAATAATGTCAGAATGATCTCTTTGAATGACGTAGCATAGTAGTGAAAGCTAGTCGAAGTTTAGTCCTTTAACTGAATTACTGGTTTCCTGAGAATTTCATTGTACTGGTTTTGTGTAATCTTCTTCTCTGTTTACAGACACTGAAAAAATTTACAAGAAAACCATTGGAGATGTGTTGGCTAAGTATGGCAAAGACTACACTTGGGAACTTAGAGACATGGTGATGGGTACAGTCGAACAGGACACTGCAAAGATCCTTGTGAATGAATTGAATCTTCCCATCACTGATACGGAGTTTAGGGCAGAATGCAAGGCAAGCCAAAAGGATAGTCTCAGACAAGCAGAATTTATGCCAGGTATGGATGGTTCCATATGTTTGTAAGAAATTTGATTCATTTATTCTACTGTTATAATTATAATGCTTCACCCAACTTCAAAGGTGCTGTGAGGCTGGTTCGTCACTTGAGTAAACATGGTATACCTATCGCTGTTGCTACCAGCAGTGGGTCTGAAAGTGTTCAATGGAAAACGTCACAACCAGAAAACAAAGAAGTATTTTCACTGTTCCATCATGTTGTGATGGGAAGCTCAGATGAGGAAGTGAAGAACGGAAAACCAGCTCCAGATATTTTCCTTGTATGTGCTTCACGTTTCCCTGATAAACCAGCACCAGAGAAGGTAGGCAAAGAGAGAAATCTATCATCTAGTTACACAAAATTGATGTCTTCAACAAAATATTTTTTATCATTTCAGTGCCTTGTGCTAGAAGATGCCCCGAATGGAGTTCTTGGGGCTCGTTGTGCTGGTATGCAAGTTGTGATGGTGCCAGATGATCATGTCCCTGAAGAGAAGAAGAAGGCGGCTACTCTTGTCGTAAAATCATTATTGGATTTTAAACCAGAGCTCTTTGGTCTCCCAGCGTTTGAAAACTAAATTGGCAGCTTTTGACATGGGTAGTTTGGCAAGAAACTTTGTACTTGTTTAAATTTCACATTTAGTTTTCTCTCCCCAAAAGGCGTCCATGTCTTTGTTTCAAAGCACTATCTTATCTGTAAATTTGATCTTATTTTTCTATGGTTTTGTTTTTAGTATTTTTTTGAAATAGGAACTTTTATTTAAGGTCTCTTAAAAATTACAGGCTTTGTCTTGCCAACAAAGCGGTGTCTATATGTGTTAATGGTCTTGTTCAGTTATGATGATCTAGTGTCTATTTTGGTTACTCCTAAATTGCAGTTAATTGAAAAAACCTGCTTATCTTTAAGCTTGCACAACCTCAATGCACAAACAGAAAAGGAAAAAAAAACCATTCCACCTTTTGAAAAAAGAAAAAAAAACAATTAGACTCCTGCCTAGGGTTATAAGTTTTAATGGCTTGCAGTTTTTGTTAAATGTGAGAGGGACTATACCCTTCTCCCTTTTCCCTTTGTGCTCAGAACAAAATTGTAGGCCATCCGTTAATGAACGTAGATGTCATTACACAATGGCAAAGAGAGCTGTACTTAATAGTGCCAATGGATCTGAGGATTGTAGTCCTGGACTCTACCAAGGATCAGCTTGAATTGTTCCTTGTCATAGAGGATTTTCTTAAATATTTTGCACTTAGAAACAGAAACATTTCCCTCCTTTAAAAGTTCTTTCAAACAAAATTTTTACTTTAAGGAAGTTATGTCTGTTGTATTCGAATGAATATGGACATAATGTTGAAATTTTTTTACAATGTCGTGTAGAATATCTGGTCATTGCGTGCCCTTTCAGTGGAGATTATTTTGTTTATGAAGCACAGGGTCGTCTGTTAAGAAATTTTCTGTTTATTTGATCTCTTAAGTTGTACATTCTGAGCACATGTGTTCTCAATTGAGGTGCTTGAAAGAGAAATATAGGGTGTGAGGAACAAATATCATTGCATATAAGTATCTTTTCATATATTGTGTGCATAATGTATATTGTTGAGGTGTGTATGCACTGTACATTGAAAGAATCATTATTTTTTTAACAGACTGCAGAGAGATTAAAGTTAAAGTTATCCTCACCAATTATAAATTTTACTTTTACTATTTATTTTGTTATTTGCTTCTACCTTTGATAATTGTTAAGGGACTTTCCTGAGTCTTATTTGTTTTTAAACCAAGACATGAATTGAAGCTTGGTGGGATTATGCAGCCTGCTGAGTTCAACAGTGTCAGAAGTTTTGTGAAGTTAGGCTATATCCTGCAACAGGCTGGTGGAAGCAACGTTCATGTCTTCAGGTGCAGTCTCACCAGCGATACCTCTAGTCTCCTCGTTACTATCATATGAAGTGAAGAAGGGAAACAAAAGACTAATATTGTTTTAAGTTGTGTATCTTATTTCTGTCATAGTACATTTTACATTTTATGTGAAACTCAGTTTAATAATTCCACATAGTAACTGTATTTATTTGAAAGGCAGGGAATCTTTTAGTCCTTGTGTGCAAATAGTGTCTTGAAAACATTCCTCTAAATCGTAGATGGGAGTGTGAATCTACAGGTAATCACAATGCTGTGAAGGAAACAAAAAGTCCTCCTCAAGCCATGTAGATTTTGGTGTTTTATTTTCAATAGAGTGCTGATTTTTTTTTAAAGACATTGTTTTTATGTACATTGTTGGCCAATCAAGTTTTGGTTAATTTTATGTTGTTGTACCGGTTGTACCGGTAAATAAAAGCTTACAAGACAGAAATCTTGTTATTAAACCTAAAAATATTTACAAACTACATTTTATCACGGTCAATTAACAACAATATTTTTAAAATAGAGATCTGTCACAAATAAGATGAACCATACAACGCAATGGTGTTTCCCCACTCAGATGTTAGACTTGCGCAGACACTTAAAACCTCTCAGATTGCAAAGCAGTGGAAACAAGATAAATTTAGAGAAAAACTGAGAAACATGCTCTCACAGGACAAGAGTGGATAAGAACATATGAATAATGTTACGAGAGCTAAGTATTGCAGTCCAGCCTTGCATTTGACAATCAGCTATACACTTTCAGTTGCTACTCACAACCTCATAACCAACATGGCCTTATTTTTCCCTACAAGAGACAATGCATCATTCAAAGGAATGTAAAATTGAATACCATATCTTAAAAAGGAACACATATGCCTGTTGAAGGGTGCAAAGCTATTATCATTTTGTAGTCAACAAAAATTCATTCCTTTACAATCGAATCTTACTAACACTAAAAGACTAAATAATAAATCATAAAAAGGCAGAATTTAGTTCACTTTGGCTTCATAAACGTGGCATTGTATTACATCTGAATAAACTTTGCTTGAATACATAACAGTACACTAAATAGCTTAAATGGGTGCACATATTTTAAGTTGCTTAGAGTAAGTAATAAATAAATCAATAATAAAAAATAAAAAAGGAATATCACATAAAGATCCAACTATAATGGTTGAAAAAAAATATGGTTGCGTTCACTTATGCAAATTACACACAACAAAATTCATTTAGCAAATGGCAAAAGCCTTGGGTAGAGCTACATTAACATACCAATTTTTTAAAAGTGATGACTCAACAGCCAGCTGTCAAACATGATGAGATAAGTAGAGATTGGCTTTAACTTAAATCTGAGATGAAGGACTTGGACTGGTTGGTGACACTGCACTGGATGCACTTGCAGTTGGTGTTGCTGCACTGTCAGTAGAAGTATTTCTTTTTAAGATGCCTCGTTCAACAGCCTCTTTCTCGAGTTCTGCCAACTGTCTCCGTAAGCGTGTTGCCTTAAACCTCAATTCTTTGTCATTTTCTTTTAGAGCCATGACCGCCTGGAGAGCTTTCTGCTGAGGGCTTTGGTCAATGACCCACCTCAAATACAGATCAGACCATAAGGACTGAAAGAAAAATAAAAACAGTTTTAAAAGAAATTAACTGCAAATTTGTTAATGTAGACACCACTTCCAAGTGGTAAGAAAACTTACAAGGCTCATAGGCGCGACTGAAGGCCATATCACACGATTGTTTGGATCATACATAGGATTCAGATAAGACTGAAGTATATCAGGACGGTTAAGGAAGGACCACAAACTTGCCGTGTTCTGAGCAAGTTTCAGAGACACTCTCTCAGCCTCACAATTACCAAGAAAGGTTCCTAAAAATGTAGATGCACACATGAGTTACTCTAAAGGGAAGAAAATTAAAAACAAAGAAATGTTACAAAAGATGTTTAAGATTTTCTTACCAAATTGAGAGCTGTAGGAATGTTCAAACAATAATATCAGGAGTGGTTGACTGAACTCAAAACTGCATGGATATTGTTGGTGTATCTGTTGTACACAATCCAAGAACAAAAGAAATGTGGGTGCATTATTTTTGTTTCGCCCACTGGTTGAATAGCATGACTTAGAGTGTCTTTGAGGAAATGGGTAACCAGCTTGAATCCACTCTCGTTCTACAAGTGCTTCTAATCTGAAAATTAACGGAAATTTTGAGTTACTAATGTTACATTGATGGCACATTTGAAGAAACTCAATTTAAATTTTAAAAAGCTTACCCTCGAACAGTCCGACAGTCTGGGTTCAATATAACTTGGGCAAGTGAAGTGACAAGCAGTGTTGAGTCAAGCCCCTCTGATCCATGAACAAGAACAGATAATCCTTCCTGGACAACACACATCAAAAACAAGCAGGCTTAGAGGCTCAACAAAAATGAACAAGAAAGTGGACAGGGTCTTGTAAATGGTAAATGTACCGGTATACCTTGTCCAGACATTGTGCTACAACACACGCACAATTCAATGTGTCCTTTACATGAGTCATCCAGTTAGAAGATTCCAAGCGTGAAAGCCAACGATCCATGGAAGAAGAGGTATCATTGCAAGCTGAGCATTTCATAAAAAACCGAAACAAAAATCAATATTTTTAGACATTGATCAAACAACAATGAAAACTAAAACACTAAATATGTCAACAAGCACAACCTTCAATCAGTTTTGTTAGAGACTCGAGGAGAACATGACGTCTATCGATTGGTTTATGCGATCTTCGCCACTGGGGATAATTAACTTCAACTTCATACCCTCCTCCTCTGGCCTGAAAGAAGCAAAAGCATTTACATCAGTATAATATCAGAATGCAGGGAGACTAGCTGGCAACCATCAATCCTGTACTTATTTACCTTAGCAGATTGTGCAAAATTCATTGTCCTAGTATCGATTATAAATCCTCGTTTGCCTGGGCCAAGAACTGCATTTAAGAGTTTTTCATCTTCTCTGCATCGCCTAGAATTTGGGCCAAGTAGTGGCTGACTGCTTCTAAGCAAGTAACTCTGAAAACCAATGATGAGAATCCAATGAAAAATAAGGAACAGCAACAACATGCACAACTTCTGAAATCTACAGTGAGGCAGCACTGACCCCTCCTTCATGACGATAACAAAGAATAGGGAAACGGCCACCTTCCCGAAATGTGGCAGCCGTTATTAGAGTTTCGTCATCAATTGACTTGGGCACAACAACAGTGCTTGGATAAGAAGGACATACCTGAACAAAATTGCAAGTAAAACATGGTTTAACAAAACAAGAAAATATGAAATACTGAGCAACTATTTCCCTTTTTGAGGTGATAACTAAAGGAGAAAGCTAGAAAACTCACATTGTAATCTTTGTTCACATAAGAAAACCTCCATTCTTCAGACAAAGCAGTGACAAGTTTACTAAATTCAGTCTCTGGTCGAAATGTTGTCCATCCATCTTCCAAAATTGTGTACATAGGACGGTAGAAGAAAGGATACCAATTGTTTGGATCAGCTAAAACATACAATTGAAAATTAACAATATACAATTAGCAGTCAGAGGACTATGCTGAGAGATGAGGCAGGAGACTTGCAACTCACCAACATTAGACAGCTTTTCAATTGAGGAAGCAATATTGAGAAACTCCCTCTGCTCTTTGATATCTAGTTGTATGATTCGAAAGTCTTTGCACTTGATGACAAGGCTACCTCCACCAGCTTGGTTGTCTGGTTTGCGCTCCACAGAATCAACATTCCGATGGAGTAGCTAAAAACAATTCCAATAACGTAAGTTCAAAGGGTCATTCTTACACAGACATGGAATGGGATTGCAAAGCACATACCCAAAGTTCTTCAACTCCTTCCTTGCGAGAAGAGAGAATCATATGATGACTGATAATACAAAGAGATCTTTCAACTGGCTTTTCAGCAGGTTGGCGAAATGGAGTGTGCACAAGAACCCCATCCAGTTGTGGAGTTTGAATAAGTTCAAAGAATTCCATCTGCAAACAAAAAGGAGTTAGGCAAAAGATGTCAGTAACCTAGAAAGTAGCCGAGAACCTAAAAAAGCATTAATGGATAAACATAAACGATCCGGGACGGAGAGAAAATCGTTCCAATCAGAAAAATGTGAAAGAACTCGTCAATTTGGGTACTAAAAATAACTGACATAACATGATTAGCAAAAACGAGGAGGTTATGTATCAGCTGACGTATGTTTTGGCCAAAACCACTCTCTCTGAAGTAGTACAGCAACTAAATGCACGATCACAAATAAGTGGCGATTACAAACACTGACTTTGGATGGTCGGTTGTTCTCGGGTAGCTTTCTGTCAGGTTGTTTACATTTACGATGAGTATGGTTGTTCCGACACGACAAGCAAAGAGACGACAGCTCAGCTCAGCTGCAGGGGGCGGCAGCGGTGGCGATGGTGGTGGTGGTGGGGGTAGTTCGGGTGAGGATGAGCATGAGGCGTAAGGGGAGGAGTAGAAGTTTTGTAGCGCCATTCGCCTTGAGCTTTTCAAAATGTGTATGAGACGGTTCCATATCCAAACTGACACGCAGTGGGTAATGCAGTATCGTGCTGGTATCACATTCACGACTGTAAACCATTGCGGCTTCATTACGACCACACTCAAGCGCTGAGGCGCCAGGGTGGTAGGCAACCCATCAGACTCCCGTGCACATGTGTTGCGGGACGTCGCAGTGGAGACGGTGGCCTACCTTGCCCACGGCAGGCGTTTTACTTGCCTTGACGTGCCGCAGTGTGCCGCCACGGTGCCGCCGCCCCACCAGTACTAGTGCCTCTCCGCCCGGCCGCGCCGCCCCCTGGCTGCCCCCACCGCGCAGCCCGGCAGCCACCACCACCACCAGCTCGCGAGCCTGGCCAGTCGCCGCTCGCAGCCCGCGGTGTCATGATCTCCGTGGCGTTAGCGTTCCCCTCTTTCGCTCTCGCTACCCCGATGCGACCGTAGCGGCCTCGTGCTGCCTCGTGCGTGCGCCGTGCACCGTCGCGGGGGTTGTCACCCCAACAAGCGGTGCGTGTGTCGCGTGTCGCCGGACCGGCGACAGTGTGCCAGTGAATACAGTGGATACAGTGCAGTGACGAGCGTGAGGATTACGGATTACCCCCAACCACCCCCAACTCCAGGCCGGCGGCCGTCCGCCACGTTCGAGACCTTCTTCACCCCGGGCATGCGCTGTTGAAAAGTAAGCCCAGTTCCACGATGTAGACAGAGAGTACCCATTAAACACGCGGGAAGTCACAACATGCTCAACAAGCTGTCTAGAAAGACAAAAATATGACTTTTTTTGTCGAAACTGTAGGTAGCCACCACTATGGCGTTTCGCGTGTGATCGTGATCTAGTGAGCCCCACGCACCACCAACGCCACCCCGCTGGCCGCGTGCGAGCGGTGCGAGCGTGCCTGAAGGGGCGCCGCGCCCCTCCTAGCGTGCGGGAAGTCCGTCAATCGTATCCACTGCTAGAAAAAACCACAACAAAAGTACACAAATTTCTGGCAAATTTTTAATCAGGAATTTATTGAACTTTCAAAGTACAACAATTGTTGTACAAAGTACAATGAAACCAGCCTGACGAGTGCTGTGCAGTCCAGGCCTCGTTGTGGTTTGTACATTTTTCGTTGTACTTTATACAATCTCTGTTGTACTTTTATTGAACAGTTTTTGTTGTACTTTTGTTGTACTATTCACACTTTTTCTTGCAGTGTCACCTCCGCGAAAGGGTTGGGAGTCGGAAGGGGGTAGGAAGGGGGTTGGGTGGAGGTAGAAAGGGGGTGGGGTGGGGGTAGGAAGGGGGTGGGGTGCGGGTAGGAAAGGGGTGGGGGTAATGAGGGGTGGGGGAACGGCGCCGCTAAAACGAGGTGGGCGTATCGTTGGGGTGCACTAAGTCAGCCAGCCTTTCAACCCCAGTGTAGTGAGGGGAAAAATCCATGCGTGGCTTCAGGACAGGGACAGGGGCGGGGCAGGTCAGGGATGGGTTTCCACTGGAGTACCGTCGGCATTGTCCACAGAAGCCGCTCCATTTTTCTCCAGGCACTTTTCGTCTTTCTTTGGCGCATTCCCTCGGGGACGCCGTGGATGTCCGTCGAGTGGCAGGGGCTGCCAGCACTGCCAGCACACTGCCAGGCCGTCAAGAGTCAAGACCGGCTCGGCGATGGCGTGGCCGCGAGGCTCTGCTTGAGGTTCGGTACCTTCGGTGCGTGATGCGGGCCGTCCGAGCCCGCCGTCTCTGTCGCGCGCGTGGGGCGTCCCGTAAGTCCCGCAGGGGATTGAGAGAGACGGATCGACGAAACGATGAGGCCGTTTGGCTCAGTCCTCGCTAGGGGCGATGAGCCTGGCCTGGCCGCGCCTAGCAGTGTAGTGCCTCTGCCTTTGCCGCGGCAGGTTCCGAGGCGGCCTGGCCTGCCTGGCCGATTTGGATGTTCGAGGATGGCATGGCGATCCATGTCGTTGACCGCGCGGCATTCCTCTGCCTGCTCTGCCTTCTGACGAGCGGACCGGCCCAACACGGCAACAAGGCGGTCGCGGGTTCGATCCCCGCCGCGGCGGGCAAATTGACATTTTTTTCTGTTTCCGGTTTGCCCTGGCTGGGCTGGGCAGGCCGAGGCAGGCTGGGGATGTAAGGCGGTGCATGGCGCAGCCACTGCGGTCGAGTAATGGTTCCGCGACTCGGCCGGACGACGGCACTGGCAGTGCTTTCATCGCTCCGTCTCTCTCACACTCACGCGGCGTCCCGCGGCGTCCCGGCCGGTGCGAGTGAGACGGAGCGACGAAAGCAGTGTGCTCGCCGCTCACTTTTGTGTCCGCGGCCAGAACGGCCAGAACGGCCAGAACGGCCAGAACGACCAGAACGACCAGAACGACTCGCTGCGGTGGGAAAACTGGTTCGCAGCGGTACCAGCATTATTTTGTGTCCGAGTGGATTTAAGTAGTCGGACCATCGACCATGAGTGGTCTTTTGCCATTTTTATCATCGCGGCACGAAGCCCGAGGCGACACGGCCAGAAAACTTCCACGCGTGCCGAGGCCAGTATCATTGCAGTTCCCAAATTAGAAGCACTACTGACTGGGGGGGGGGTGGAAATGCCGGCGTGTACGCGTGAACCAGGCGCCTTTTGAGATCCAGAGTCGCTAAATGGGACTCGAACTGACCGTGCGACCCCTGGATTCCTCTTCGAACGAGGAATCCATTGGTGGAGTTTTGGCCGCCTCCACCGGTCTTCTGGCCCACTGTGGGGCGCCCTCGACATGCTGGTTCTGCCTGCTTCGCGGCGCTTGGCGGCGCTTGGCAGTGCACCACCTTCCGGGCCGCAGATTTCGCGGTTCATTTCACGGTGTAGGCTAGAAAGGGGGCTGGGCCTCCAGGCCGCCCCGCCCCGCCCCGCCCCGCCCCGCCCCGCCCCGCCCCGCCGCGGAAGGGCTAGACTAGGCAGCAAGGGCCTCGCGAAGAAAGACGCACAAAAAGGCGACGAAAACGAGCGGGCATTTTCCCGCCTGGCATAAAGCAGCCGGCCGTGATATGGCACCGCGCTTATTTGGCGGGAAGGAGAGAGAAGTGTCTACTTCCGGTGTGGGATCTTTTGGACGGCGAAGGCGGAGCGTGACTTCCCACAAGAAGCGCCCCAAACTTGCAGAAAATGCTCGTGTTTTTATTCAACAACCCACTAACTCTCACTCGGACCATCCGACGAGCGGCGTCTCGTTTGCTCTGTTCGTTTTAAAAATTGCCTCAATTTTCTTACCCAGTAAGAAATTTTAAGAATTTTGGCTTGAATTATCTTACTGGACGCCATGCACTCTAAATGTTGTACAGTGAAGATTCTCCATATTATGGTGAAAATGTTCCATATTATGGTGGTACAGCTGACTTCGTAACATACCATCGAGAATTCACTATGCCTTATAGATATTTTGACGAATTTCGTTGGTATTATGGAGAAAATCACCATAATATGTTGGTGCAGCCTTTCACCGTAAGACATTTACAGTGTGGGAATCGAAGTGATTTCCAGTCAAAGTTTTCAGGCCTGTCCGTCTAGCCGCACCGAGCCGCACCTACCTAAGACAGCGGCGACATTTAACCCAAGTCGTTTCTGTCCGTCCGTCTGTCAGTCCGTCCGTCCGTCCGTCCGTCCGTCCGTAGGTGCGGCCGCCAGGCCGTCAGGCCGTCCGACACGGCCTTGAACGACAAGTGGAGTGGGACGAGTGCGACCCGGTCGGGAAGTAATTCCCTCTCGGCTGTTGCTGGCTCGCTCGCTGCTCCCCTTAACGGGGAGTGATTAGCATTCCTCGGACGGACGGCGAGCGTTTTGCGTTCGGCGTTCGTAAAAAGGCATTCTCGATAATGTGGCCACTTCACTACCCGCGCCACTCGTGCCGACAGGGAAAGGGAAAACGGTTGCGGTAAGGTCGAAGCCATGCCCGGTTTTAGTGGATCGTGAACGGCAAAAGGTGCATTCAGCAACATTATTAAAAGAAAAACACGCGCTTAAAAATTACATTTGCGGTTGGAAGTGCAAAGGATTTCGAACTTTCAAAAAGTTTCAAGTAATCCCGGTTTGAAAAGTACTTGGACCCCAGTGAAAATGTTGAGTCAAAACAGTCAACGAGGCTCTGAATGCAACGGGATTGCAATGCTGCATGCCTTGGCGAGGCGAGGCGTGGCGTGGCGTGGGTCGGATGCAAGTGTAGTGCGGAGGCTGGCTTGCTAATGAGTCGCCATCATGCCGTTAGCTCCTCTCGTCTTGTCCGGCATGCCGATTCCGTCGCTCTGTCTCTCTCGCACCCCTACGGGACGCCCCGCGAGTGCGAGAGAGACAGAGCGACACTGTTCGAAATTGGCCGGCTGCGCCACACGCACTGCCACGCACTGCGCTAAATGGCTGCGAGGCGCGCTGCGCGCGTTCGGCCAGTGGTCCACCTAGCCACCTAGTGGACCTAGTGGTCCACCGGCCAAAACTCAAGACGCGTTTTGAGCTTCAGAGTCGCTAAATGGGACTCGAACCGAGCCTGTGACCCCACCAATGGACTCCTCGTTCTGAGAGCAATCCATTGGTGGGGTCACACGGATGATTCGAGTCCCATTTAGCGACTCCGGAGCTCAAAACGCGTCTAGAGTTTTGGCCGCCTCCACCGGTCTTCTGGCCCACTGTGCTGGGGCGGACTCACCTTGGCCCAGATGCATACTGCTCTCGGGGGTTCTGACTCGCCGTGGGTAGCCCAGGCTTCAGGAGTAAGGAAGGGGTTTCCACTTCAGATTAAATTTTTCCATGACGAGGTGCAACTCTGTGTTTCAAAAGTTATGCCAAATCGATCTTTGACTAATGAAAACACGCAAACAAACTCCAAAAAAGAATTCCTTCGTATAACTTTTTTTTTTTTTTATGGACGGTGAAGGTAACTGATAGGAAAACGAATAAAGGGGAAGATGGGTGTTTGGAGGCTGCCGCGCGTTTGAATGGCGGCTGTAAAAAACGGCGAACGGCGGCGTGGAGGCCGCGCCTCCCGCCTCGCCACGTCACTGCTAGGCCTCGCGACGCTCTCCCGCACAGTGGGCCAGAAGACCGGTGGAGGCGGTCCAGAGTCGCTAAATGGGACTCGAACTGAACGTGGGACCCACCAATGGATTGCTCTCCGAACGAGGAATCCAATGATGGGGTCACACGCTCGGTTCGAGTTCAGTTTAGCGACTCTGGAGCTCAAAACGCGTCTCGAGTTTTGGCCGCCTCCGCCGATCTTCTGGCCCACTGTGTCCTGCCGTGTCAAAGCTACACTGCGCCGAATGTAAATAAAACGCACTCCAAAAAAATCTACATTTCATTTGGGCAGTCGTGGAACTTTGAAAATGGGCGTGAAATCAGCGTCGGGTGGGGTTGACAGCCAAGACGAACCGGGACGGTGATGCCTTGGTGGATGACGGGGCTCGGTCGGCGGTACGCTTGGCGGTACGGTACGGCCGGTGCGGCGCCCGTCAAGCGGCGTCGAGCGATCCCTCTTCCACGTTCACGGCGCGTCCATGTTACAATGACCCTGCAAAAAAAAAAAGAAAAGAAAAGAAAAATGTCCGCACAGCCTCGACAGCCGCAAGTACACCACAAGGCAGATCGCTCGTAACGGCGCCGCCTCGCCTTGCCGCCCGAATAGGCGTGTCAGTACGGGCCTCGTTTGTGTGGACTGCGGACTGCCACT